GCCTGCCCCCCCCCCCCCCCCCCCCCCCCTTCCCTTGCCGGACGACTACCGCTGGCCAGGGCAGGGCAGAGCAGAGATTAGGTAAGTCTAGAGTAACGAAAACAGCTCCCAAGGTCACGGCTCCATCCGAGCGAGGTGCTGGTCCCGCCGATTTCTCGCAGCTACATCGCGAGAATGGGAGCCGGCAGCCTGTTTTGGGGGCCGGCTTTGGGCGTCTTGCCAGCCCTTTGGGGACTTGGAGGGAAGGGAGGGGCACCAAAGGACTACAGTACGGGTACGGTATATTGGACAGTATGAAGAGGGAGAGGGAGAGGGAGAAAGAGAGAAAAAAACGCTCCATTACCCCGTACTTTGCCAGGCGTCCAGCCGTCTCCGGGTTTGAGCTTGTGGAGCCTCCCCTCGACTCTGAAGGAGCAGCGCGAGCATTTAACGGGCGCCCTTGTGCATATGTATGCTGCCCTTGGCGGAATGTCACATCCGCCGCTTCTTGAAAATACTTGTACAGCACGGGCAACGCTCAGCAATGCAGTGTACAGTACTGGACAGTAAGGCCGACTCGAGGAGCAGCTAGCTTGTGAGCAGCTAAGCATCCGACTACAGACGCACGCCCAAATACGAAGGGGGCTGCCGATTCGGATACAGCTCAGGCTGCCTCTCCCCCGCATTCGGTCCTCCTCTTTCATCTATTTTCTCCTTGGGCGATCACCCTCCCAGCTCAGCCCACCTCCCCCAAGCTTCCGTCCCCTCCCGTACCCCCGGTCTAATGTCGTAGGGGGATCCGACCGATCGCATGGGATCCACGCCTGCTAGCTACAGGAAAGCTCCGTGGAGCAACACACCTGCTGGACTGCGTTAACTGGCACAGACAATGGCTGACGGAGTGGTCCCGTGGGACGAGTTGGCTGTGTGGGGTAGCAAGCGAAGCTTTTTTTTCCTTTGATTTTTTTTTCCTTCTCCATGCTGCCCCATGTGTGTATGGAGTCTGGAGAGAGTACTGGTACGTACCGCTATGAGGTGAGAATGGCCTTTTTTATGCCGGCTTTTATGCAACGCCAGCCGTTGAGCCATTCTCTTCTTCCGTGGGGGGAAGCGGATCATGATCACGCCTCGCTACTACGGCGTCTCAAGGGTCTGCCGTGGGGGGCGAATCCGGGCCACATTCTTCACGTCCATGTTGCTACTGGGTGCCCCGATGCCGATATCTGGGGATGCCAGCCATTGGTGTAGTGGTGTTGATCCAGGTCGGATCGGTGATCGCGGTGTGGTGGTATATATCAGGCACTGCCCCCGTTGCGCGCCGCCGTGTTATTGTTGACGGCAAAGCCCCCATGTAACGTTTTGAATTTTTGTCGATATAAACGTCTTGCTGTTCAATCTCTTTCTAGGTCTCCTCATATCCTGGCAATAGCGCTCCAGGAGGGAACGCTCTTGCTGTTCACTAGTATCAATCCATCTGACCTACGTTCACATTCCACATTTGCCGCAATGACAGCGTCTACAGAAGCCAACGGCTTCTCCAACCACAATGGCTCAAGCCATGGCTCTACCACGCCCTTGCATCCAGGCCTATACGTGCCTACCGTTGCATTCTTTACTCCTGAAGATACCATCGACGAAGAGACGACAGCATCACACGCCAAGCGCCTGGTTGAGGCCGGCGTCACGGGCATCGTGACCCACGGGTCCAACGGCGAGGCTGTCCATCTCGATCACGCCGAGCGACAGCTCGTCAACCGCATTACTCGTTCAACCATCGATGCTGCTGGCAGAAGTGATATGCCCCTTATTGTTGGATGTGGCAGTCAATCTACACGAGAGACAATACAGCTATGCCGTGAGGCTGCCGCGTCCGGAGGAACACACGCTCTCGTCCTGCCACCGGCGTATTACGGAAGCTTGCTGTCGACGGACCTCATCATGGGCCACTTCAAAGATGTGGCCGATGCTAGCCCAATCCCCTTGCTGATATACAACTTCCCAGGCGCGTGCAGCGGGTTAGATGTCAGCTCGGATACCATCCTGGCCTTGGCTGAGCATCCCAATATTATCGGCGTTAAGCTGACCTGCGGCAACACGGGCAAGCTGGCTCGGGTTGTTGCCGGCACACGTGGGACGACTTTCAGGACCTTTGGCGGTAGCGCCGACTTTGCTATTCAGACCCTGTCGGTGGGCGGGCACGGTGTGATTGCTGGACTGGCCAATGTGGCACCCAAGGCCTGTGCTGAGGTTATGCGATTGTGGACAGAAGGCAAGACGGAGGAGGCGATGCTGCTGCAAGGGGTTGTCGCTTCTGGCGACTGGACCGCCATCAAGGGCGGCTTTGTCTCTGTCAAGGCCGCGCTCAAGAGATATTACAGCTACGGCGGCGAGCCTCGAAAGCCCTGTGCCTATCTGGAGGGCAAGGCCTTGGAGGCACAACTGCTGGGCTTTTCCGAGCTGGTCGAGACGGAGAGGAAGCTAGAGGCACTAGCTTAGCCTCCACCACAACAGGCAGACGGATAATAAGAAGGAATGGAGAATGGAGAATGGCCGTGCAACGAACGATGTTGACCGGTCCGGTGGGGCGTGGGGGGAAACCTTGAGTCTGACTCTGGGCTGACAAGAGACCAAGCAGGCGAGGCGAGCGTGGTTTGTGGAGGCTCTTTAGCGGGGACGGAATTCAGATCCATGTTTGCCGTCTTTCTTTGACTAGTATTGCATGCACCTTTGGCTCACTAGCACGGAGAAGGGGGCACAAGGTCAGGCTGGGCTGGACAAATAGCCGGCAAAACAGACGCGAGTGTATATTGAGGCTTGGTGGACTATGGCGGATATACGAGATACCTTGATGGGTAGAGCAGATGATATTCCCGAGTCTGCTCGGGGCTAGTTTCGAATACTACGGAAAGAAGACGGTAATAATATACGAATTTCAAGGAAATCATCTGTAACAATGCTTTGTTAAACAGTTAGTGGTTCAAGAGACCAGGAAGAATAGAGAGAAAGGGGGCTCAGGATGATGTGTATAGCACTTTGAACTTTTATTTCATTTAGGTGCTGGATTGTTGCTTAATAGTACTCTAGGCAGTAACGATTCAGTTCTTTTACTATATACACAATGTAAGCAGCGGCGAGATGCATTCTCCATCTCGCGACTCTCCCGCATAATCCATCAACCATACCAACAATTGCTCTAATTCAGGTGACCCAGGAAGCCTTCCAACAGCTTGACCAGGCCATACGCGCCAGGGTCGGGACACTCGTTCCATCCCTCGGCATTGACATAGACCGATCGCCCCAGGCTGGCCTCCATGCCCTTTGTGGAATCCGAGCCTTTCCTTGCGGCTTCGACGGCCTTTTGTACGTCAAGCGTCTCGGCCAGCGTGTTGACGAACGGCACAAGCGCATCCACCACGGTGCGGTCACCGGGTTGAGCAGGGGTGTACCTAGCCAGGCTCTTGAGAGCTGCCTGGAGAGCGGTGGCCCAGATCTTGGGAGTGACAGCGGTCTTTTGGCTGCTGGCCTGGCCCTGAAGGCCTGAAGCCAGAGCGTTGACGAAGATGGCGTACAGGGCGCCCGAAGTGCCGTCCATACTTGACTCAATGACTTGGGCAATGTTTCGGACAAAGTGCACTGTGTCAATGTCCCCTGATGAGGAGACGGTTTCGAGATGCTTCAGGACAGCCTCACCGCCCGTCTTGAGACAGAGACCGCAGTCACCGTCGCCTACAATGGTATCAAACTTGGTTACCTGGGGCTCTGCGACAATGAGGCTCTTGAGAGCTGACTGCAGCTGAGAAATGGTGAATGCAGCGTCCACTATTTCGTGTCAGTTATACTTCTCTTCTGGTTTCGTGAAAGAGGACACAAAGCTGGGGTAATCTTACAGTCAAGGTTGCTGGGGGCTGAATCATCCTGGGATGGGGCATCCTCCTTGATCTCGGCCTTGGTGGTGTCAATGCCATTAACCCAGTTCTCGGGACGGACGGCCGGTGACCAGCCAGCAGCATCGGCGGGAGCATCAATCAACGGCAAAATAGCCTTATCCGCCACCTTGAGAATCGTAATGCTGAAGCCCAAGCCGTTCAAGCTGGTCATGTATGTGCCGCTAAGCAGCCTTGATGGCTTGATTTTGTAAGAGGCATCCAGCTGGTCAATGACCTCCGTTGTGATGGCACCAAGCTCGAGAGGGCTGATACCGCCGAGATTGTTTACCATGACAACCACTTCCTCTCCAGACTTTACGTCGATGTAGGCGCGGTCACTGTCGGACTGGTCGAGGAGCTGCTTGAGCATGGTCTCAACGAGGCCCTTCAGGGTTGTCTTAACACGGCCGAAACCCTCCTCGTTGTGAATGCCCATGCCGATTTCAATTTCATCGCCAAGCTCATCGGTGGTGATTTCACGGCCAGGAACGTGGACGTGAGCTAGAGAAGCGCCAACAGTGGCAAGGTTCTCAGAAGCAAGGCTGGCGATCTGAGAGACCTGCTCGAGAGATTGTCTATTCGCAAGGAAGCCACGAGGTCAGAAACAGTTTTCAAAGCATGGGTGCCAATTTGCTTGAAAGGGGACTGGGAACTTACCCCTGAGCGGCGGCGGCGGCCGCAATCTTTTGCACGAGGACTGTTCCAGCCAAACCTCTCCTACCAATTCGTCCACCACGTTTCCGACCAACACCAACGTCATCTCCCACAACCAAAAGCTCATTCTTGATGCCCTCGGCGCGAGCCTTTTCAACAGCCATGCCAAAATGCAACATGTCGCCGGTGTAATTCATGATGAGGACTAGGACTCCTCGCTGTGGCTGTTCCGCGCCTACACGGCGAATTGCGCGAAAGACTTGCTCGGCAGAGGGAGAGGCGAAGACGGAGCCGGCAACAGCAGCGGTTAGAAAGCCTTTACCAACAAAGCCCGCAAATGAGGGCTCGTGGCCGGAACCACCGCCCGAGATCAGGGCAATGGTGGGCTGTGAAGCGGCATCGCGAAGGAAGACAGTCTTTTGCGCGGCATCAAAGCCAATAGAGGGGTTGGTGTAGGTGGCCGAGCGGAGGGCGGCATTGACGAGAGCCAGAGGCTCGTTGGCGAAATGCTTGGCTGAGATGAGTCTTGATGTTAGCTAGAGTTTTGAAATCTCTGGAATTCGAGAAAGAGTCAAGAGCTAGAGAAGAACGTACACGACATGGCGAGCCGCTGTTTTGCTGCCTTTGTATGATTGTTGCTCTCTTAGACAATTGGACAAGCCGTATGGCGGGGTCGCAGTGGAAGAGGAAGAGAAGGAGGAAATCAGCAGAGGCGATTCGCAACATTCCGTCGCCTGCTTTCCCCGCGCCGCGGTCGAGTTGTATTTATCTTAAAAGCTCGAGAGTTACCCCATTCTCGCAAGCGTCGGCCAAGACGTGTTCCTTTGGCTTGGACGAGATCCATCGTGAATGGGGGGGCGAGATTGTCCCACGCAGGGCAGTGGCATCATGGGCTCTAGGCTGTGATGCTTACCCTGCAAAGTCCATGGCTGCTCCGATATCGACTACTAGGTAGGTCTACGGTGGTGGTGACCCCCGTGTAGGACTGAGAAGAGGAAGAGATGAAGAGGAGAGAAAAAAGGTCGAGAACACTTGACGGAGTAACAATGGAGAAGACAGGTACTATAGCCAGCGACTTGATTACCACATACATGTAATTGTACCTATCGTGGTACGTACGTGCAGGTGCTGTAGCTCAGTAAAATACAGGTAACCCCCCCCCCCCCCCAAGGTGACCCCCAACGGCGAACCCCCAACATCCATCTTCAACTCGATTCTCTCTCCCCCATCCAAGGCTTTCTTCTTCGTCAACAGAACGAGGGCGTACAAGAATAATGAATGCATGGCTTGCTTTATGCACGTTATGCTTAAGCAGCCACCATGTACGAATACTGTACTCGTACCTGTGAATCGTGATGGTGTCTATTCCTTGGCATCTTCTCCACGAAGCCATCATGTGCCAAGCAGCCAATCCTACGGCAAAGCCCCTCACCAGTGCGGCTCAACATGCAGATTTCGGCGCTGACTTGTACAAACTGAATAGGTTACTACCATACTACAGTAGTAGTCTACATCTTAATATATTTGATATATTAAATATTGATGCTACGGGTAGCGTGAGAGTCCACTCGCGACGCGGGGAGCCGAGGAAATCGGATGCCATCTCACGGGCCTGCGGAGGGAGTGTCCATTTTCCCCAACTACTATTTTATTTACTCCATGTACGATACTCGTACTCTGCACGCCGGGCGTTGGGCCAACATCGACGCCCCTAGCATTGATTTGATCATGTCGACCTGCTGGTACTGCCGGAAACGTCGAGACATGGCTTGTCCTTCCATCCATACATGGCCCCCTTTGCCTAAACGAGAGGCCGGGGTGAGACGCTACAGCAGGTCGTGAAGCCACAAGTCCAGTCTGGACGAAGCTGCCCTTGCCGCATGCAGTGGTGTTGGCCACAAGATCAAGAAAAGCTTGGTTCTTTTGGGCTGCTCGACTCTTTCGGATGTATGTCAGACAGCGGTCGACGTGTCAAGACCCTCCCCCTACAGCTGGGCTGCATGCATTCACGTCGACGGTCGACGGTCTGCCGTCTTACAAGAAAGAAACGCCAAAGAGAAATTCCTTGTTTCTAGTCGATACGATACTGGACCCCTGGGGGGGGTTGATTTACCAAAACGTCTGGCACCAATGGGTGGCCGTGGGTGTACATGTACGGGTACGGTGAAGAATGCAGTCTTAGAGTCACCTGGCCGGTTTCCCCCACACTTTTTGGGCCAGCCGGGGTGCCGTTTTGGCGAGATGCCAGTTTCGCATTTTTTTTGTATACGAGCACTCAGGAGAGAATTCTTACCCTGGTAGAGCATCGTGACTCGTGCTACTATTACGACTCCATGACTGGGAATATATAGAGTTTAGATTACGTTGTGCTACCTTGCATCCATGATACATGCTGAATGGCCATTCAATGGATAATTGCACAAGAATGCATACAGAGAAGAGACGGGTATTATAGACAAGGCAAAAACATTGTCGTCAAAATAAGTAGGTAAACGTTATTCAAGTTGTACAAATTCATACACCATCTAAAAACACACCGGTCATTCCGTCTGATACACTGAGCCATATTCAAGCCACAACCCAAAGTAAACATAATCAAAAGTTGAAGGGGGGGGGGGGGGGGGGGGGGGGGGGGGGGGGT